GCAGCCGACGTGAGGACAGCCGGTGTATCGGCACCCATCCATCAGGATTAGAGTCCGCGGGATGGCCGTCACGCTAGACAGCGTAGTCATCACGCAGTAAAGGCAGGGGCCCCACAGTTGAACGGCGCCACCATTATGTGCGTTCGCACAGTTGGCGGAACGTAGTGTGCCGGCCGGTCCTTTCGTCTCTCTCTGTCCGACCGAGAGGTCGAGTGCTTGAATAAGACAGCGAGAGGAGAGGACGGTAACAAATGTGTTTAGTCTGTCCAATAAACGGACTGGATTGTTTTGGCTGGCCGTGTGGAGAAGTGGGAGGGGCAACCGAAGGGTAAAACCTGGCTGCCGTTTCCTCACGGTCATTCTGGTCGCAGCAAAGAGTGTTCTGCACTATCGAATTTGGCGAGGCAACATGCGATGTTTCGCACAATGAAGAGTCTTGTAATTATGTACTTAAGTTCCTGTACATAAAGTCGAGTTGTTGCAACGTATCGAAAGGCGCTGGTCTCCATCTTTTACAAGCAGCAGCAGCAGCTACGACAAGACAAGACGAACACCAAAGCAACCAACCTTCCACTTCTTTCTGTAGCAACAGCCACTACGCAGCTGAGAGAGCTCTGCTCAAGTGAACAGATGGAGTGGGCTGAAAGTTGAGTTTTACTTCGACGAATATTATTTTTGACAAGTGAACACGTGCACTGTAACATAGAGATGCATGTGCCAGAAAACCTTTTTTTCTGCATTTGCTTTTCACAACGAGTACCACTCTGTTTTGGAATCACTGCATCGGTTCTCTTGTATGCCCAGAATATGTTTTGTATGTACTTGATGCAAACTGCTATACATCGTTCAAGCCCGATATCTTTGCTTTTTCCCAAATACACATCTCTCTTTCTCTTTTTTCTTTCACTCCTGTATATCTACAGAGAAATGACGGAAATGCCGAACCAAAATGCAATATCAGCGTGGCGGCGATAAACGGGGGCTATTTTATTGCATGCACAGTCGGACACACCGCGTGACTGACTCTTTTATATCCATTACTTCGAAAACAAATTATCTTGTTCCTTTAACGTACTCTTGCCTGTATTTCTAACGATGGAGGTTTCTGTAATATCCTTGTTGATGTTTTTCTCGCAAATATACTCTAAAGAACTTTTGCTTATCTCAACTGATAAGCAGTTAGCATTCCCAGGCACTTTGAAACTCAGCGACTTTAAGAAATGGACACTCTCTATGGCTGTGACTGGTTAGGTATTCCGAGATTCAATTACGCTGTGTCGCGTAACTTTCACTCTTTTGATACAGCAGACAAACGGTTAGCCATAGAGCGTGCAGCAATAAGGTATTCTGAAATAATTTAGGAGCGAAGATCCTCTTATTTTAACCTTGTCCCACGTCAGGCGTAACCGGCAGTATCTTCCAAACTGTATAATAGATGGCGCCATCTCCTAGAAGTACCTACATAATGCAGTTGACTGAGGATCAATAGCACTGTTCCATAGGGAGTTGCGTTTCTTGCGTAAGCGGTGATAAATTGCAATATCCTTGTGAAGGGGTTGTTTAGGCAGAGTGACATTATCGCGCATCCATCTGAGTGATCCCACGTGCTGAAATGTCTGCCTGGAGATAGTGGTTTATAAGCGGTTTGATTTTAGAATTGTTCTTGGCAGTAACGTCGAGTGACATTCATGTGCGCTTTCTCGTGTCCATGTGTCGTTTTGCGTTACATCAGACCTTTTCGAGTGAAGGCAGTCGTTTACTTTATATACGTGCATAATAAAGAACCCAATGTGGTCGAAATTCAACCGCAGTCTTCGATGACGGCATGCCCGATATTCATATTGTAGGTTTCGCAGTAAAACCCAAAAAATTAAATTATTACGGAAATGGATCGTATTTTCAAGGCCATATAAACCGATAAATCACTTGGAATAGCTTTTGCTGCTGATATAAAGCCTTGCCACCAAGGCGACTATTTGTTCGGCGTCCACCTTGGTGGAACAGTGGCTACGGTGTACGGCTGTTGACCCAGAGGTAGCGGGTTCGACCTCAGCGTGGATTTCAAATTTAGATGGAGGTGAAATGGTAGATGCCCATATACTGTGTGATGCAAGAGAACATTGAAGGAAACCGATGGTGAGAATTTCCGAATCCCTCCACTACAACGTTTCTCATAATCACATCGTGGTTTGGGAATGTAAAGCTCCCGGTATTATTATCAATATTATTGACTAATTTGGTCCTGTATTTCAGCTTACCAACCGAACCACTGACCTGAACGTACATGTGAAACTTTCTATGAGGTGAGATCTGTAACATAGGGCCAAGCATGACGGCCTCAAATTTATGCGTTCCTTTTTCCTCTTTTATACTTTTGGCTTTGCTGATAGCCATAATATTGTAAGACACTAGCGCTAAGACAAGTGTTAGGGCATGGTCTTAACGCTATTGTCTTACGTTAATACCATAGGACAACAGTGATAAGAAAAACCAAATTCAGCCCTCTTGATAGGCAGTGATACAAGCTTTTGCTTCCTTGGCAGTTTTTCCTTGTGACACTTGACGTTTGATGCGCTGCACTCACGATAATACCTTTGTTTTGACAAACATGTCCGTCATGTCATGGCAACCTTATCTGAACACGATGAACGCTGTTGCCGCTGAGATAACTCGACGAGCAAGCGGTCGGTTGGATTGCATGCGTGCGTGTGTGTGAGCGTCGCGTGCTCTCAGCGTAATGATATGGAGATCGTAGCTCCTGCACGTGGGAGCCAACAATTTTAAAGTCAATTTCAAGGGAGAAGAATCCATACATCAGCCGACAGCAGCACCGGCAAGTACAATAAATAGCAAGAAGTTATTATGAATGATTTCTTGTACTAGCTTATGTGCGCTTGTTTCGCATTTATGTGGCTGAATCAATGACAACATTTCAGAAGCCTGTCTTATAGTTGAGAGTGAAATAAGACGTTCAGTGAAAGAAAATAGACCTGATATTATAGTGTGCGCACGAAGAGTTTTGGACTGCTGGAAGGGGGGGGGGCGCCCACAACAAATGAGAAAGGCGAGTAACTCATGCATCCTCTTTTGACTATGTATTATATGCTATTGGAGGGGCAGATGAAAATTCCAGAGGAGGGAGGGGGTAGTGTGGTCCAACCCCTCCATACGATTTGCTAGCACCACCGCCAATACTAAGTGTGCTGTTGATTTTACCATGCTACGATTGGCTGAACCTCGAGCTTCCACAGAGTGGTATATAATTGAATTGAGACTGCCGGCTCCGATCTCTATTCAATCAGAGTACAGAAACATGTACAGTCCACTAAGAGGATACACAATACCGCCTCTGGTGGGTTATCTCAAGTGAAGTGTGCGTAGTTTCAGATTTGAATGTAGCAGGGACAAGTTACCCGCGAGAACCACATCCCAAGACACAAGTCAAGCTCATTGAAGCCAACGTTGTTTAACTCTGACGTATACATTGTGAAATTTATGAGTGGGTTTGTTATGATTGGTTCACCATGTTTAAACAGCTTCTCAGGTTGGTTCCTAGATGTCCTCTCAGGAGAAAACACAAAAAAGGTAGCAGGAATATTGCTTTGAAGTTAATGGCAGAAGTCATTTAACTTTGCGTGCGCGTGCAAGAATTTGCACCGGATGATACCTATAACTACGCCCCCAATGTTGCGTGCGTATCGTACGTTGAACAACAGCGTCATGAAAATGTTTCCGTGACGTAGAAGCGAGCATGTTCCTCTACCTATAATAACTTTGGTGCCGCAAACCTCTGATTTTTTTTGTTTTGGAAACCTAGAACTAATAACAGTATACGGCAAAATACTGTTACAAGCGGGTGAGGGAGACACAAAAACTTAAGAGGGCAGGTGGGATTTGGAAGCTTGCAGGTATAAAGTGTCAGCAGCCATCACAGGACCGAGTTGACTGGCGGAACATGGAAGAGACTTTCGTCCTGCAGTGGGCGTGGTCAGGCTGGTGGTGATGATGATGATGACAATAATTATGATGATGATGATGATGATGATACTGCAATATGCCCGGAGTTGTTATTTATCATACATTCTTGCTTCCACTTTCTTCTTTTTATTCTGCTTCACTCCCAGAACCCATGTGCCGATATATCTAGCGTTGGATGCAATAATAGAGACGGTCTCGTTTTTGAAGAAGGCTTTACACCTTTACCTGAACTCGTGTTTTGCGGCATATTCTGGGCCCTTGGAAAAGTAGCCGCTGTGCGTTACGTGCGCCACGAAAGCGCTGTTGACTTACTTGTGGGCCATGGGCCTCAACGAAACTTTGGAAACAGTGTAGTCAATTTGTATGCATGTGGCTGCATGTGTTATGTGGTTATGAGTGTATATGTGAAAATCATCATGCAGTTCCTGGAATCGCATGTCACTTGAATCGTCAGGTGTTACTGTAATGTTGAAAAGAGCAAAAAAATATCGACAACTATATAACGGTTAAAGCGAAAGCGCATTTTCACAACGCATTTCCAATAACACATTTTTGAAAAATACTTTTGTGTAAATATTTAAAGCCCATTTTGTACCGGTCGATTGCTTGACCCGTAGCATATGTGGGGTATCGGATATCAGTGAGTGATAGCGGCAGTGGTTTGTTTCCTGGTAAAGTGAAATTTGTGAATATGGTACGAAGGAAAAGAAAAATAAAAAAGAAGAGAGAGAAAGAGAACGTGCGGCGGATCTGTATTCTTGACTGGATTGGTCGGTTTTGTTTGACAGGTGGCTGATAGTCATGGCACGTTTCGTTGTGATTTACAATAGCGGGCTGACAGTGAGCAAATCAGGAGTCATTCACTCGGTGCGAGTGGAACGAAATCGTATACACATCCAATTACGCGCTTCGCGAGCATAGCCGTCATCCAATAATAATGACCGTTTTCTTCGCCCGTGATTTGGCTGACCCGTTGTTAAAAAGCCGAGTCCGCTGTCGCTCGAATCAGTCGTAATACGCAGCGTCTGCAAGCGGACTCTTTGGGCACTGCATGCTTGCACTCCGATTACTTCGACAAACATAAAGCTCGCAGCAGTCGCAGTCCTGCTTGTGTGTGCTGGGCACCTCGCCCTACTTGAAGATGCCAAAGAGTGAGTGCTTCTTTCTTTACTTTCAAACCATTCCACTTAGATATGCAAGAGTTTTCGAAAGTTTCTGAAAGTGAGCCATGCTTTGAGAAAGTCCAAAATAGTTGAAATCAGCTGCGTCAGGGTGTGTCATACAGGGCCACACCCAAACCAGTACCAGTTGATCTCAATGTTCTGGTCGCTACAAAAACAATGACCTATATAGATGAAAAGCAACACGGCTTTTTTCCAAATGAAATCAGTGTTCTAACAGTATCAGATGTCCCCTGTTTTTCTAACAAATCACCACGCGGATTTCACAGGATAATGTCATACAAAGCTTGGATAATGTAAGCACATACATCGCGGCTCATTGTACATTGATGTTTCCCTGTTTTTTCAGTTAATTATACCTGATAATAGTGCTTATTTCTTCTTATTTATTTATTTCTGTGGACTCGTGTACCATGAAGGGTGGTTAATACAAACACAAAAGAAGCAGCAATCGCACAAAAGCAATGCAGTTGAAGCAATATATAATTGCCATTGGATAGTAAGACAATTTTTATTCATTAATTGTTCTTGGAAAACAATAATGTCTAAATAGGTTAGTACGAGCAAAATATGGGGTCAAGATGTTGGCGTGGTGGCGTCGGGAGGGCCTGCAAGCTAGATGTGGCAAATACGAGGTGGATCTAGAGCTGATTTTTTGTTCCAAAGTTCATAAAGAATTTCTAATTTATCTTCTTGCCTCCGTGCCTGTAATAAGGTAATGTCACTTGCTTGTATTAAATTTGAAGGGGAGTCTAAAGGGGAAAAATTGTTTAATATAAATCGTATAGCTTTTCTTTGAATGCGTTTAAGAGTGCAAATATTACGCTTAGTGTAAGGGTCCCATATGACGCACGCGTACTCTAGTTTTCGTAGCACAAGAGTAGTCTGCACGTTTGCGTGCCTTGTTTTCACTGTTTTATTAGTTATGTTTTTTAATATTTGCTAGCTCGTAGTTAACGTCATTTCATGGGCCAGTAAAAAATTATGGATAAATTGTTTGGCTTTTCGGTTATATGAATACAGCGAAGTTTTCAGTACTATACAGAAATGAACAAGCTAAGGGTTGAGAGATTCCGCAACTACTATCAAAATATTTAAAGGATGATGAATAATGAGTGACGGCTTCTCATACTCAACAAAAATTAAGAATCTTCGGCCGGCCAACACAATACGAAATTGCTTTCTTATACGTCCAGTGCCCTCTTGAACCAACTTTCCTGTATACTCTTCTAAACTGCAGATACTTTGTAACTTTTTTTTTCTTTCATACTTCGTGATCACCCCCATGCTGTATACATGAGAAGTTAGGGAAATTAGTGAGCTCTATATGTGGTTGAATGGGTAGTATATTTCCAAAATTCTTGCCCTAATGTGTTTTTTCATTACTCCAAACACAAGGGCATTTACAGTCCCTCTTTCACTAACAAGCGGCAGAGTCACTTTATACTTTTTTTCTACTGGGACGAAAAACGGGGAAGTAAGGGAAACCAACATCTTGCAAGCAGCTTGGTGAGACTGATTTGAGTATGAATAAAGCACCATCTTAGACATTAACCTCGGGAAGCACGTCTTGAAACGTGTATGCCAACGCATGTAATGCGACTGGCCACGCTCTTAAGCCAGAACTGCAAAACAAGACTCCAGAAAACCACACAAAACAGAACTATAGATACATTCAGTACCATTGAAATCGGCAGATGATGCGATTCCTTAGAAAGTACACTTAATAATGATCATCAAAAGTAAATTAGCTCGACTGAATGAGAAAAATTTTTTTATGATAACGTTTTCTGCAGAATGTAGGCTACTGAGGTATGCATGACAATCTGGAAACTCTCAGAAAAAAGCAAGAGAGCGTACTGTGTATACAGAAGAAACAGTGTTTTTGCAGCAAACTTCAAAAGACCAAGTCCAAGTTGCGTTAAAAGTCCAAGTCACGTTAAATAAAGTACTTATATTTCATTTGCTATTCACAAGCTCACCAGGAGAATTAGATCGTGATACCAATGAAACTTATCCATAGTGTGAAGACAACAAGGTCATAGGTAAAGCCGTTTAGTGGTTATTTTATTATATTGGCACTGCTCTCGACAGCCTAGAGAAGTTTTAAGAATAGTATCTTTCGATAAAGTTTTATCGCCGTCAATGTGAGACTGCGAGGTGAGGCTGGTAGGCTGTCATAAAAATTTAATTGTCACCTGAACTGAAGCTTGTTTAGAATAAAAACTTGTAGCGAATTCTGACAATACACAGAAGTCGCGACTGCCATGTCAATTGAAGTGAAGGCGAGACAAGCGTTGCCTTACTAGACACTTTGCAACGCCAAGAGCACCGCAAATAACGCAATAGAAAGAGCACCAAATTGACACAAATGTGAGCACGTGTGACCATATAAATGAAGTGTGCAGCACTGTTGCACCAAAACTAGAACCGGTACTTTTCAGCAGTGACAAGGCCAAAGAAATAAAGAAAACAGCAGGCGTTTCATCTATAGAAATGTGGTTGCGTGAACAATCAGGGAGAAAAAGACCTTGGGAATAGGTGTCCAAGAATTGTCATTGTATTTTCCGGAGAGGATGAAGCGATGTCGAGAGTATTTTGGATTTGAAGTAAATTGTAATAATTAACAGGCAATAATGAACATAAAATTTCTGTAATGAGGCGCCATAGTTCACGTTTCTGGCTGGAGACAGTTCGATGTTACGCGTGTGTAACTGGCTGCACGATTATTGTAATTATATTAATACAATCGCCCTCTAAATTGAAAAAGAAGTTTTTTAAGATAAATATCACCTATAAAGACTGCAACCATCTGAAACACAACAATGATGACAATGTCCTCAAATGTGTCTACAAATCAATAACTTGTTGGAAATACCTGTATACATTGTCTGCACTCGAAATATTTTTTTATAGTTTTAGGCATGACACTCAATAGGAAAGACGAGTCGTTCAATCTAAAATAAAAGATAAAAAAGTTATATTGCACTTATGTTGTAAATGTAACAGTGTGTGGTGCTTATAATGAACAATTAGTTCTTTAACATGAGCGTTAATTCTATTTTTGACGTATTTTTTATTTTTTATTGCATTTCTTTCCTTTTATATTCAGGAAGGTCTCCGAGAAGCCCATCTCTTGACCATAATTTCATTAAGCAGGCCATAGGCAATCCTTAACTTTGTGCAACTGTGATACGAAAAATGGCCTGAGCTTACAATTATGTGTCAACAGTTTCGTTCCAGTCCAGATGAAACGTGATTTCAGGAATTTCATATTGTGCGCAGCTACCACCTGCTTACTACTCGTGCAAGTGTGGACTGTTTTGAGGCTACCTGCTGCAACGTGCGCGTCAGATGGATGCAAAGTTAAAGTCGATGAACACTGCCAACATTGATGAGCATGGTCGCCTGCAGTGTATCGCCAGAACACTGCAGAACAGCACAACATTTGATGGGGTGCCAGAAATCCCGTTACAGGATTCCGGCACGACAGGACGCTGAGGAGGGAACCGATGCTAGTGGTGACGACGTCGCAGGTAAGGGGGCGATAATGAACTAGAGTCCCTTCACTACAAGCATTTCCAGGGAGAAATGCGTATCTCCTAAATCAGAGGGCTTCTTCTAAGTGACTATACTAGTCACACGCACTTTTTTCGACAAAGGTTTTGCAACCACTACGTACGTAATTACGGAAAATAACTTCTAAGAAAAATTCAGCTATAGCCGCTCGAAACCCACACTGACTGCCAAAAGTAGTGAGCCTAATGCACATTCTCATGGTTTATGTGATCTGAGGCAAAAATACTCGAGGCCCGTGTGCTGCTATAGATATTGGTGCACGTTAAAAAACACAGCTGGCCGATTTCTCCACTGCTGTGTCTTTCATACTCATATTGTCATTTTCGGACGTTACACCCCAATGATTATCTATATTATTAGACTTGAGATAAAAACGGTGTTGAAGAGGCAGGTAGCCGCTACCCCTTGTGCAAGTCGCACCGAAACTTCTGGCCAAGACAGACAATCCTTGCAGACGTCGTAGAGCTGGGCTCTGAAAATTTCGTCCACCTGGAGTTTTCGAACTTGCACCTACGAGAAATACACAGGTCTCAAGCATTTTCGTTTCCAATACAAATGCAACCGCCACAGCCAGGATTCGACACCGCGACTTTCGGGTCTGCAGACAAGCGCCATAATCACCAAGGCACCGTGGCAGGTGTCTCTCTCCCGCAGAAAATGTGTCAAACAAAAAAGTCTTTCATGTTAGGTCATTTTCAGTTGTATATATATCACAAAAGTGGGCCAATAAAAGAAGTGACAGTGTGACTCTACGCCCCCACTCCTGTAGTGCATCCTGTGTATCACACACACACAGACACACGTGTCACACACACAAACGTGTGTGTGTGTGTGTGTGTGTGTTTGTGTGTGTGTTTGTGTGTGTGCGCGCGCTCTCACGTACGCCAGGATGAGCTCTTCAATAGCCGCGTTACTTGAAATGAAAGCACATGCTTCTCACATTCATTGTGTCACCGAGTAAAATATGTCACTTTTGCTGCTAAGCCCACAAAAAGAGCGTTGTTTGAAGGGACTGCACAACACTTTTTTAACATGTTCAGAAAACACGACTCTATGGTAGTCGGTGCTCCAGCGAACATGGGAGCCATGTAATATAGCAAAACACGTGGCAGAGAATTAGAAGCTAGGTTGTGCAGGCAGCTCGCTCGATTTTGTCTAGACCATAGAGTTTTCTAGCATTAACTAGAGGGGACTCTGGCACTGCGATCCTTCAGCAACCATGGGGATGATGGGTAGTACATATATTTGCCTAGTCTTCGTACTTTCGGGTGCCGCATCGAACTTGTGGCTTCGTTTATTGCTGTGTTTCAATGTTGTTTCTAAGGAAATAATGAACACTTTTGAACGTCCTCACCCGATTTGAAATGGTAAACCTAAAGGAATAAGGTGGTGAAGCTTAACCGCTGAAGATTTGCTGATTTCGTTTCATGGAAAAACAGCTTCAAGCCACACGAACGCACACGGAGCCAGAAGTACGAAGATTAGACGAATTCGTGTACTACCCATCATTCCCATGCTCACAACAGCGCTGTGCGTAGGTGCTCCCATAGACACTAGCACCAGAGTTCCCTCTAGTGTATATTTAGGAAACTATATGGACTAATAACGTCATATCAAAAGGCCCAACTATACGCTAGCAGATGAGATGACATGGACATTGGCAAGTATGACCATTCTAACAGCGGCGATGGTTTGCCATCACATGCATATAAATTTAAAATAATAAAAAACGTATTTAAGGTCATGATGTGCACTAGAGTGATTGAACAAATAACACATCAGAAATGTATGACACTGAGATTTTACGTGCAATAGCGTAGGTTTCTGAAACAAGATACGGTAATCGTGCGCTTGCCATGTCATACTATCGTAGAACACTGAGCAGGTTTGTAGGGATTTATTCTGGCTGAACTGCGTGATGGAACGGGAAATGGCGAGAGAAGTCAGACAAAGAAGCGCAGTTTGACACTTCCATTTTCGTGTCTCGTCATGCAGTTTGACCAAAATGTATGTCATGTCATGCTTTTTATGATCAACGTGACATGACGAAAAATTGAAGAGGGAGAATATAGCAGCGGAAAACATTTTAAGCGTGCACCAGTACGTCGCCTGTTAACTTACCTAGCAAAAAGCCTGCTTTTCTGAGTTAATTGTCAGGGGAATGCGTGGTGGCGGTGTGCGTTTTTATGAAAGACGTGTGTTGAAGGAAATAAACTCCCGTGTGCTGTTATTGCACTGTTTGCGCTTTTCAACACATTTGATAAATAAACATACACTTTAGTCGGCTACTCTGAAGTGACATCTCGCACTGCGTGAAATATTCACGCCTTTATTTAAAACTCATCCAACACAAAAAATCAGTCCAGCTGTAAGTTCCACATGATCACATAAGCCACTTTTTGTATTAACCGTAATGTAATAGCCAATTCCACAATGCACAAAACCGAGTAAACCTAAAAAGCCCACGCATCAACAAAAAATTTAGCAATCAAAGTCCATACAACAAGCCTTGCGTATTGGGCTAACTTCATTTCAAGAACCATGCTCACTGCAACATTGTTGCATAGCTAGGTTTGTTATAGCTACCAGCCAATGAATCTGTCCGAGGTTAACCCCAGTGTTACGAGCAGGACAATATGGAAGTAAAGTGACAGCCGTGAATTCTGGGACCATCTTCACGTTTAATGGAATTTTTCGTTGCTACCACACCGTTTCTAGTGATATGCGCAATTTTATGACTGCACAAAAACGCAGAACGGAGGTAGCAGTCAAGCTGCATCTTATACGAAATACTGCAAAAACATGTGACGGACGTTTTTGGAACATAGGGCGGACATGTGTATATGAGACGAACAATGATATGAAGTTACTTACATTTTTTTTCAGGTTATATTTCGGAAAAGTGGCCCAATTTCATTGCTATATTTCATCACGCTAAAAAAGAAAGCCCAAAAACAAATTTGGTAACGGAAAACTTTTCGCAATCATTTTAGGGCTTGAAATACTAAAACTTTTGCTGCGACAGACACAGCTAATATTCTTTGGGGTGTTCAGGTTTCAATCTGGATGTGGCGTTTTCTTCAACAATAAAACCCACAATTGCTTTTTTTTCTGCCTTACAAAATTTTCATTAGAGCGAACTAAATTGAGAACGTCGTAGCTAGTGTGGCAATTAACCGCTATCACGTGATATGTCACGCTCTCGAACATCTAAAGTGACAGTCCTTCGCTATTGCGCAAGTGATGTGGGTGATGTGTCAGGTTGACAGCGGTAACATTCACATGATCGAGTTGGATGGGGTCATAGACCCCCGACATGCAAATTTAACTTGGCTTCAATGCACAGCTGTCTTTTATTAGTATCAGTTTTTTAATGTGCTTTTCTGTTAAACATTCCGGGTAGTTCGAACGAACCTCAGCTCTTTGCGTCTAATAAGTAGGCATCGTTATTGCAATAAACCTATTTTACGTATAAAAATTTGACTCGGAAAAATGTGTGAGATCTTTTTACTTGTGTAATATGACTTGCCCGTTTTGTCCTGGAGGAATTGTGGATATACGTGCATGTGGATAGCTGCTGTTATTAAGCTGCTAAACAAAACTAGAGAAATAGAATAATGGGGTTTTAATTAGGAGTGACAGGTCATTGTACTCGCATGTCACCAGAAGATAAAGCGTAATGCCACTTACAATTGCAATTAAAACCTCCGAGATAGTACAGATGTTACGATGCTTGTCCGTTCGTCAAGCCTACTTATGACAGATATGTGATTTTAGACGGAAATGCTGATATGGAGTACTGAACTAGGAATTTGATGAATCGCCATACTTTCTCGATTGTGTCAGATCTAGTAACATGCTCAGGGCACTCCCCTGTTCGCTCGTAATGGGTTGGCTTTTGACACAGCTTCCCGCGTGACAGAATCTTATGTTAATGCTGCCAGATGCATCATCAATTCATGAACTAACAGTGGACTAGTTATGCTACAGTTAAGCATTTGCTTTGAAAAACGTTCTTGAAATCTGCCCAACTTGCTATTTGCCGTCATGTTGAAGCTACCGTGCAAAATGTCATGAAAAGACTATATAGAACCAAAAGGTGAAATTTACATCTTGGGTTCTTGTAGGTGCTCTATAGTAATATCAGGTGATATGTTCTGTGCTGTTCAGTTTAGGCAAACTTGTTCACAGCGCGTATCTTGCAGGACCGCACATACATACATACATACATACATACATACATACATACATACATACATACCATACATACATACATACATACATACATACATACATACATACATACATACATACATACATGTAATAAGTTTTGTTTGTAGAACAAAACGCTTATAAGAGTTCAGTAACCAAGCAGAGCTAGTGCGTATGCTAACCCTGCAGCCATCTGATGTGAATAATAGCAGTGACAGGACTACCTCAAAGTTAGTTCTCTCACTGGTCCAGGGGAGGCCTTGTTCCTGACACCCTTAATCAAGGAAGGAAAACTGGATGAAGCCAAGTCCAGGAGCAAAGTGGGCGCGCTCAGTGCTGATAAAGAAGTACCTGGTTTCTCTGGTTATATAACCGTCAACCCGCAGTACAACAGCAACCTCTTCTGGTTCGTGCCATCCTTGATAAGTTCACAGGCATTTGAGAGTCCTTGTGTGTGTTTAAATGTTATATAATTGCTGCGATTATTGGGAATGATTACCAATTTTGCGCATGAAGTGCTTGATTGCATGATTATCAAAAGAACTTTGCGCTAACGCTGAATTCGGTTCGCAGATTATTATTGCTAGTGCGAATTTCCCGCGACAGACTTCACTTTTGTGGCTTCGTGTAAGTAAACATTTATGGCTGTGCTTATCAAAACCCTGTGCTCCGGATGTCGTCATCTTTTTGATTACTTATTGCGAAATGATGGTGCCTTATATCTCTTGCCCTGTTAAAAAAAATCAGTTCAGTTTGTACTATCAGCCTCAGCAACTACGTGCCAAAGCTCCATCATATTCTTCCTTATATTGAGTGCGGTGGTACACAGCAAGATAGAGTATAACGTAACATACAGAACTTTTAAACGCACGAACTGTTTCAACATTTTCGAAGTGCCAGGATGGTAACCCAGAAAAAAGCATAATTTAACTGGTACGTGAACGCGGTCTCTGTAGCAAACTTTTCACTAGAAGTAGTAAGATTGTGCGTTCTTTGCATGCTGTTGGGGAGGGGTGGTGGTGGGGGCATGATCAACGAAAAGTGGGGGTATGACTGACCGAGTTCACTGGTTTTTTAGAGCGAAGGCTATGCTACTTTATATTCCCAAGGTCATTCCGAGGCGATGAATGACCTTGAAACAGCGGAGCACGAGCCGTCGGAGGTCTAAATTGATTCGTAGCGTTGCAACTGCACACTAGTCTGCAGCGAATGTAGTTTTTTTTATTGCGACGAAGATTTGTCTTGGCATGATATTTTTGTGAGTCTGTTTGTGATATCTGCGCCGTGAGGTGGGTGTTGCGCATGAGGTGGTGTCTTGTGGAATGTGTTTATTTATTTATAAAGTATGGCAGGCCATAAAGATGGCCCAAGCAGGAGTGGGAAGTGGTACAATGATAATAGTATGATCAATTAATAGATGTACAGGTGTGGAGAAAGAACAAAAAACAAAGAAACAACAACAACAAGAAAACAGAAAAAATAAATCAGACAGGTGTACATTATATTCGCGTGTTATATAACTCACACTTCAAAGTAATTTTCTAGAAATTTTAGTACATTTGCAGACTAAAAAATATGGTGCGGCTGTTCGTTCCAGTTTGTTATTGTGCGAGAAAAAAAAAGAGTACTTGAAGTTGCTAGTGCATGCGCGCAAAGGCAGGTGTGAATTTGTAGAAATGGTATTCTCTAGTAGGACGTGAAGATAACGGAGTGAGGACGTGCGAAAGGTCTATGAAAGTGTTTTTCTTAGATAGGTGAAAAAAATTTTAGTCTAGCAAGTTACTTTCGGGATTTTAAAGTTGGAATTTTGTTATTAATTATTAGTTCTGTCGAGGAGTCAGACTGGCGGAAGCGATTGTAAATAAACCAAACAGCTAGTCTTTGAACTTTCTCAAGATTATTATATCTTTTTTTAGTGTGCGGATCCCAGATTTCAGACGCGTACTTCAAACAAGGCCGGACTATTGTGCTAAAAGCAAGGAGTTTAGTTTTAGCGGGAGAGCTTTTGATGGTGTGCCTTAGTAACCCTAATTTTCTACGGGCAGATGAGCAAATCTTTTCAATATGGCAAGAAGAATTTAAGTTGTTGGTGACTGTGACGCTAAGATATTTATAACTGTGTGTAAGTAAAATTGGAGTTCGTTAATTACTGTACGAGTAAATTAGACGTTGTTTGTTAGTAATGCGCATAGATACAGTTTTCTCTGGGTTTATGTGCATGTCTCATTACTCGCACCAGGCATTAACTTCATCAACACTGTGGTTTGATAGAACGTGTATCCAGTGGTTGTAACTAGCTGTGTCGCTTAGCGAAGGCCGGCTTGAAGAAGGTGACGGGAGCGTTCCGCATGTAACCCTTGACATTTACATATAAGGTGGTAAGTACCTACTTGCATCACTGGAGTGGTAGAATATGGACACGTATCACCAACTGATAAATGCGACTAGTTCCATAATGATATAACGGCTGGTGTAATGGCCACTCCAGCCCGAAGCCTCCTGAGCGCCACTTTTTCGACCCTAGCAAGGTGAGGGGGGGGGGGAAAGAGCAGACACACGGTAGAATGAGACCACGTGTATCCAGCCGGAGCACATTGTTATGGGTATGGGGTGAGTTTAGGGGCTGGGGTGGAAGAGGAATGGCTGGAAGGTCTATGTCTAGAGGGCAGTGTGCCTGCTTGTCAGCAGCATTGTTGAGTGGGTTCACAGCATGGCCTTGAATTCTATGTACCTTGATGCAAGTAGCTGTATTATGGTTCATCTTATGAATCGCCGCGCAGATCCCCATGCCCTTGTGAATTTTTTGGGCTCCTTAATAGTTCCTAACAAATGAGTGAATACTGTTACACCTGGGAGTACAGACCAAACGTCATTGCCTCTGCAAAGGCAATCTGTGTCAAGGTTCGCGAGCGAGCCCGTCTGACGCCACCCCTTGATGACGTCATCTAGTTTTGTGGCACTGGTCTGTCCTACGTAACGCATGGTGAGTTACTTCAACCCACGAGCCCGATAGCAGCCCAATGATGCAATCAGCGCCATCCAGTTTGGCGAGTCTTACGCAATGCGTGGCGACACAACTCGTCCATGGGTGCAATCCAGCGGTGGTTCCTGACTAGAGGAATGTGACATCATGGCCAACGGCGGCGCTGATTGAACGTTGCTGACGTAAGGATCAGCCGAGGCCTATAAAAAAGCCAAGAGGTGCGTCACTGAGCAGCCGACCTTTGCGTCAGAGAGAAGAGCGTACGAAGACGCCTCGGCTCTTCGAGTCCCTAAGCTGTCGGCCCCAGTGCAGAATGTGTACCGCCTCTAATCTATGCTGTACATCAATTTTACCTTAACTCACGGTCGTATTGTCTACTCGTCCGTCAGCTCTGCGCAAAAGCAGCCACGAGCTGAGAAACGCGCTACTGAACAACCTTGGTGGCCCGTGACCTCGGTGCACTACGCAGCAGTATTGGTGGCAGTGCGAGTCGTAACAATACGTTACACGCATGCGATAGTGAAAACGCGACCCTAATTTGCTTCGCTTTACTCCTCGATGCGCGGCAATCTCTGGCATGTTTCTCCATCTCTCCGGCTTCTCCTCGCCATGCGAGAGGAAAGAGCAGTGAGTAAACTCACTTGCTAGCAGACAAACAGGTTCTTGTTCACCCGCTAGATAGTGTCCAAACCAAAAGAAGGCCAGATTAGCATCATCATCATCATCGTCGTCGTCATCACCATCATAATCATCATACTGATTAGCCTGACTGCGTCCACTGCATGACAAAGGCCTCTCCCTTGTTTCGCCTGATAACTCGGTCCTGTGTTTGCTTCTGCCAATTTATACCCGCAAACTTCTTAATCTCATCTGCCCACCTAAGCTGATGTCTCCCCCTAACCCGCTTGCCTTCTCTGAGAATCCAATCAGTTACCCTTAATCACTAGTGTTTATCCTGTAGACGCGCTACATGCATGGCCCATGTCTGTTTCCTCTTCTTGATTTCAATCATGATATCCTTAACCCCCGTTTGTTCCCTAATTCACTCTGCTCTCTTCTTTTCTCTTAAGGTTACACCTACCACTTTTCTTTCCATTGCTCGCTGCGCCGTCCTCAATTTAGGCTGAACCCTCTTTGTTAATCACCAGATTTCTGCTTCGTAGCTAAGTACCGGCAAAGTGCAGCTGTTATATACCTTCCTCTTAAAATATAGTGGCAATCTGGCTGTCTTATTCTTCTAGTTAGTCCCCAATCTTATTCTTCTAGTTAGTCAGTCTCGTGGTACGGTTCCACAGTTATTACCTGCCCTAAGTAGACATACTCTTTTACAACTTGAAGTGCACCATCATCTATCTCGAAGCGCTGCTCTCTTCCATGGTTGTTGTACATTACTTTCGTTTTCTGCAGATTAATTTTAAGACCCGCCTTTTTGCTCTCCTTGTGTAACTCCGTAATCATGAGTTGCAATTCGTCCCCCGAGTTACTCAGCAATACAATGTCATCGGCGAAGCGCAGGTTACTAAGGTAATCTCCATTGACTCTCATACCTAACTGTTCGCATTCTAGGCTTCTGAAAACCTCCTGTAAGCACGCGGTAAACAGCATTGGGGAGATTGTGTCCCCCTGCCTTACACCCTTCTTGAAAGGTGTTCTGTTGCTTTCTTTATGAAGCACTATGGTAGCAGTTGATCCCCTGTAGATTTCTTCCAGGATGTGTACGTATACTTCATTGACGCCCTGATTACGAAGTGTCTGCATAACGGCTGATATTTCTACTGAATCAAACGCCTTCTCGTAATCTATGAAGGCTATGTATAGTGGTTGGTTATATTCCGAGTATTTTTCTAATACCTGATTGATAGTATGAATGTGGCCAATTGTTGAGTAGCCTGTTCGAAATCCTGCTTTTTCCTTTGGTTGATTGAATTCTAATGTTTTCTTCACTCTGTTAGCAATTACCTTTGTAAATAGCTTGTATAGTACAGAGAGCAGAATGATCGGCCTGTAATTCTTCAAGTCATTGTCATCTCCTTTCTTATGTATTAGGATGCCGTTAGCATTCTTCCAAGACTATGGTACTCTTCCCTCCAGGAGACACCTCGTAAACAGAGAGGTGGATTAGCATGCTGTAGAGAAAATTACCAAACGTGGAAACCTGCTAATATCGAAGCTACAGCGGTAACCGCGGCCGATCACCAACACGAGCAACAATGAAAGAAATAAGACTAACCGTTAAGGAAATACTCCGCAAATTATTCATTATTCCAACAAAAATATATTTAATTCGTGATAGCTATGTATAGAACAGTTGAACATAATTGAGTTGATCCTCTTCCTTAGAGCGATCCTGAGAATGCCCCGGTAATACTGTGGATGCAAGGCGGACCGAGAACGACGTCCATGCTAGGCTTCTTCGCTGAAAACGGGCCGTACATACTGTCACCGGACGGTGCGGAAATAAGGTACCGCGAGATCAACTGGGCGTCCCGCTACTCGATGCTCTACGTGGACCAGCCCGTAGGCACGGGCTTCAGCTTCACCGAGAACGAAGCTGGCTACGCGCGCAATCAGACCGATGTGGGACGTGACATGCTGGAGTTTCTGCAGCAGTTCTTCACGCTTTTTGGAGATCTGGCCCAGAACGGCCTTCACCTTTCCGGAGAGTCCTATGCCGGTACGTTCCTGTACTCTAAGCTACGCCCACTTTGGAGGTATGTCAATGTTGTTTTCAACGGCAAACGTTCGATTGGGCACCTGTCAAGAATGAAATGCGCATGCTGTAATGACCATGAGAACTACAGGGAGATACCAAAATAGTACTTATAGAAGGCTTGACGTTCAGTCGGGAAGTATGATCCCGTTAGTCTAACTTCGCTAATCAGCGCTTATAGAAAGTGACAATTTTAGTGAGAGTGTTTCACAATTGTTTTACCGAGGAGAATAGGAGAGGGGGCACTCACGACAAGTGAGGTTCTTCCATAGGGCAGCTATATAACTTACATTGTGTTTTGACGATGTTTATTCGGAATGAGGGGGGCAGCTAATATGGCTCTGGCTTCCCGGTTAAGATAGCTCTATGCTTCCACATTGAACCCCTCTTTTTTTGAGACAGTGCTATGTTTCTATTTGAGCCGAATCATAATTCTCAGTGATTCATCAATGATAAAGTTTAAAGCTTGACATCGTCTTTCGTGCGACTCTAAGAAAGTCAAATGAACTGACGCAATCAAACTTTTATGCAACAACGCGGGTTAACAACACGACATTTTACTAAAAGCGATCACTTTGATTTGACTATGTAATTTGGATGTCCGGCATATGCAACTGCGTTGTTACGTATCGGTTCTCGTTGATTTGGTGCGCGAACGTCAAGTTTCTGTCATGAAACGTAGATCTCTCGAGTTGAGCTTATAAATAATATATGTGACATACCTTGCTTACTAGGAAATATACGAGAGGTCATTTCATCAGTTACTATGTCGTGGGCACGTTTTCTCTGTTTCCAAGCTTCATGCACCGGTTAAAGGTAATAATGTTTGCAAAAAAATGAAAGGTGTATGTCGCAAAAACTAGCCAACTGCAAGAACGACCAGGGGCGAGAAGTCCTGACAGGTGATCGTGCAAGCTTTAGAATTTTGTACGAATCAAGTATGTATGAAATGATTCAAATGCGTTACAGCAGCTGTGGGCTGCGGCTGAATGCTCTATAAGCTCTTGAATTGGAAGCGTTGGCACACTGGCACACATGAAAAAAGAATCACACAAAAGACGACGAGCGCAACGGTTGTCCTCATCTGCGTTATTCTTGTGTGTTTGTTAATTCGTTGCGCTAATTTTATTTGTAGTGATCAACATACCACAGAGTGCGCTCCTTTTCCAGGACAAGTGTGATGTCCCTGCTCTTACTCAACAGAACAGAAGCTGTGATTTTAACTGTGTAAGGAGAGTTTGCATTGAAGTGGCACACCAATAGAAGTTAGTTAACAGTTCATCAACCATGTCGTCTTACCAGACCAGTAGGCGACTAGTATATGAGCAACCCTACAGCTGACAAAACTAACATTTCCGTAGAATGAAAAAAGAAACCATGTGAACCCTTACGTTAATCCTGTGTGGTGGCCTACAGTTTCGGTGGCTATTCACTTTCACAAACTGGAATGGTTCCCAAAAATCACCCTTGGCTATCATAAACCCTGTGCTTTTTCTATTCCGAAGTGTAGCCGATGCCCCACTGGTGAAGAAACCTCGCTTTCTAAACATTGTTTTTTTTTCACTCTAAACGCGCAGGCAAGTACGTTCCGACAGTGGGAGCAACATTGCACCAGAATGCCGACACTATGCGGGTGAAAATCAAATTCAAGGGTATCGCCTACGGCAATGGCTTAACAGACCCAATCAACATGTTGCGTATCGCCGATTTCATCTACCCGATCGGCCTTATGAGTCGAAGCGCTGCCGAATACATGTCGAGCGCCACTCTGGAGGCGGTGCAGCACATCCATGCAGGCAACACTGCTGCAGCCTTCAAGATCATGGATAGGGTGTTCTACGGAATCCTTACTAAGGAGGACACGTACTTCAAGAACGTCACTGGGTACAGTTACTACTACAACTACTTGATTAACACCGAGCCCAAAGTCACCAGGGCGTACAAGGTCTTCTTGCCGAAGCCTCAAACCAGGCGCGCCCTGCACGTGGGCGACAAAAAATTCAGCACTACGCGTGACGTCGTGGTCGGTCACTTCTACGATGACTTCATGCGCTCGGCCGTACCGCAGTTCACCGAGGTGCTTGAGAACGGCTACAAGGTTCTCGTCTACAGCGGTCCGCTCGATATCTGCGTGCCCACGATCATGACCGAGAACTTCCTCGCGCACGTAGCCTGGTCGCACGCAGAGGACTGGCGCCACGCTGTCCAACACCCGTGGCGGAGCGCCGACGGTGAGCAGCTGTACGGTTACAAGAGGACGTTCAAGAACCTCAACTACGTGGTGGTGTGCAATGGCGGCCACGAGCTGCCACTCGACCAGCCCGAGGCCATGCTGGAGCTTATCACGGCCTTCGTAGAGGGCACAGAGCCATTCACCGACGAGCCGATGACCACGGTAGAGTAGGTGCCTGACATCGTCCAACTCCACGCTGTTGATGCTATCGTGATTTTTTCTTTTTTTTACCCTCCATCGCACACAGCTTTACAGAGGGGAGTGGGGTACAATAAATAATAAATGATAAACAAGAGCAAACACAGTAACATCAAAATAATAAAGATTACAAGACATGTAAATTTGATGTTAGACAATACACTGAATGTATGTGTAAGTACCATCAGAAACATAGGGGAAACAGAGTACAATAATATAAATGTACAATATACACTTCACGCGTCATCACGTAAGTACTCCTGTATTGTAGAAAAAAACAAGTCATGATTTGACATGGAAAGCATGTCCGAGGGAAGGTGGTTCCAGCCGTTGGATGTGCGTGGGACGAAGGAATGATGGAAAGTGTTAGTGGGACAGCTAATGACGCGTACCTTATGTTGGTGATCTAAACGAGCTGAGTAATACGCAGGAGTGGAAATCAACTGAGCTTTCAAAAAAAAAAAAAACGTCCGGGACATGACGTTCAACTTCAAAATCCATGTATGTTTTGATAAAGGTGTACGTGGGTTTCGGTCACCTGTAGAGTAATTTATCGGCCTAGTGGTTATAGGTTCACCCTCTTGGGAGGTCGTGCCACTGGCTGTAATTCCACGACTATTGCTGTACAAAAATTTCCCAGAAGGCACCCGTAGAGATGATACCGGTGTAGTGTAGTAAGCAAAAAAAGCGCACGTAATGGAATGTACGTGTAACTTAGAATGTAAAAGTTTAGACAAGTTGGCTGGTTATCCTTAACCGAGATAACCGAACGAATCTACATGTAAACAAAGTAAGCAATGCACGTATACTCCTGCCTTCTATTTGCGTTGGCAAGAGTATATCAACAAGCTTCAGGCATTATCAAGAATTGTAAGTTCCGTTCCCACTCACTAACTCATCTTTTCCTGCTCTTTTAATTCTACTTGTACTAGTTTTCCGGCATCTGAAGGGTTTCAATTTAATGTAAAAGTTAATTTCCACTATGCTCAATCGCTAAGGCTTTGTCATTCAGACGCCATGGTGGGGCTGTGCCGCATCACAAATAAAGTCACTTTCAGTGCATCACTTGATTTTCTAATGACATATGGTGCTAGTGGTGCCCTATGCTGTGCACCCATCTCGCAGTAAGCTATATGCACGGCGTAAGAATAGTTTAGGTGAGAGAACGCCACCGCTCTTCGCTTCGCGACAAAGTTCTGCTTCTCAAACCCCTGAGCAAATGCCGCTAGCAACTTATGTCCCGCCGGCGCAGCAGAGCCCGTAGAGCTCGGAGCCACCCTAGCTCAAGCTCGGTAAGTGAGAAGCCAGTTTGGCCTAGCTATGGCACCGAATGCAGCTTTTATGAAGCAGATCATTTTTTAAATATGTCCTTTGACCTTTCTGCCTTAAAAATCTTATGATTGAATACATTAAGCATGCAGCATTCAGGTTTATGTAGCAAAGGCGAAGCAGCGCGTCTGTGGCAATGTCCCAGTTGTCTGGCCGATATTTGCGGGAGTGACGGGAAGGTTCTCTAAAACTGCCTATTACATCAAGAAATCTGCGCAATATTTACACCTTCGTCACAGTCGTAGGCGGTCAAGAGTACATGCTGAGTTTCTTTTTAGCCGCTCGCGAGGGCCTTATTATGCGATAACATTAGCGTTGGCGGTAAGCGCGCAAGAAATTTAGGATATCAAAGTAATCCACATACAATGCTAGCTACATCTTGGCCGAAAAATCGGCTAATGAGTTGCAATAACCCATTCAACACTTTTGCTCTGTGTAACTTCTCATGTATATACATGTTAGTATTCGTTAAGACTTTTTCCTATACTTCATGACATGGACACACACATTTGCGTGGGTGAGAATCCTAAATTTTATTTATTTGGATTAGATCAGCAGTAAAATTATAAATGAAACACTTTACATACAAACACAAAACAAAGAGTACATCACTGTACACCATGATCACAGTACACATAAGCATTATTGCACACATTACACATTTGACTTCTCCTGAATCAATTATACAAGTTTCGACAATTTGCGCAAGTCTTGGTTTTTTTACATGCTTATTCTTTAGCTGCCTGCAGTGTTGCCGCATGCGTAGGCACGCATAATAGTGTAATAGCTTGGCAAGATCGTCTTCTTTGTGAGCAGCACATGGAAACGTGAAGTTGAAATTTTCTAGCACTGCATCTGTCGTGCGATCATATACATCTCTCTCACCAGCATGTTTTGCGAAGTGCTCCTCAGCCTCTTTAAGCAGAAGAAATAGATACACATTTGGATGTGTGAGCCCCCTTGGTTTTGCAATTTACTAAGTCGGCTTCTGGTAGCTTTAAAACACCTTTCTACCGAACCAGGGCCTCCTTACAAATTGTACAGGAAGTTTGAGTGGCAAGCTTTCGCGACACAAATCCAGTGACATAATATACAATGCAGTTCACGATGGCGGCATCAGAATAATCATGCTGAAACACTTCATCGCACTCCCACGTTTCCTCACTGATGAGGCCATCTAGTTTCTCCTTGAGGTCATGCATTTTATTAGTGCGCTGGAAACGTGCAGACTGGAACACTTCTCAGAAATCATTCAGGGTGAGAAAAGCAGATTAGTTTTTCTCAGAAACAACACAGTTACCAAACTTTGGTGGCTTGAGCAAAGAATACAAGGAAAGCTTGCGGTAAAGCTGCAAACATGTCGGAAATGTTGGATGCTCAATTTGGCCACCTGCTTCTCTTATAATACCAAAAAAGCATTCCAACGGATCGTGGTTCATTTTGGCTGACAGGACATACTTGAAATCGCACTCTTTCAGAAGAAATGCTGACAGTTCCTGAACAGACTTAAGTGTAACACGCAGGCCTTCAGCAGTAGTCTGCGTTAAAAAAAGATCTTTGTGAATGTCACCCCTCACTACTTTCTGCTCACAGCTATCAAGCCACCTAGATGCTGCCTCTAGAACTTGAAAGTCTTTGCATTCAAGGATGAGGCCTTCTGCAACAAAGCGACGATTGAGGGCATCAAAAATATCATTCATTAGGAGCGTAAACTTCACAGTTGATTCCACATTCTCAAGCCGTGGTGTGCCTCTCCGTGCATAGAAATAAATGCCCTTAGCAAGTGAGTTGCTAAAGATTTGTGTGGCCAACTTCACTCGCATTTTGAGCATATGTGATAGATTAACATGCGAGTAAGTCAACTTTGGACACACCCTTAGCTCCGCGGCGTTTTTCGTGTCAGCAACAAAAAGTGCATCATAGCATGACCAATTCACAATTTTCCCATTTACTTTCAACATTTTCTTATCATAAGGACTGTTTATAATACACTTGAACAAGTGAGGGGTATCTGCCACTGCATACACTTTTCTGGATGGATCTAGGGGATGCTCGAAAGCATTTACGACATGTCCTAGAGCACCGCTTACCCCAAGCTGCTTCCAAATGGCCCTATTGGTAGATGCACCGTCACATACCACACAATCAACATAAACTCCTGCCTGCTCTAAATGCACGATGCACTGAAGCAACAGCTGTGCAAGAAGTGTACCCTTAGTTGCACCTTTTAATGCAAATACTGCCACTGGCTGTAAATAGCTGTCAGCAAAACGGGCAAAAGCAAACACTAGACCATGGTCAGCCAGCTCATTGCTTTGTCCACCTTGGTCTCTATAGTCAACAAGACCAGCATAACTCTTGTTCTTCGAGTTTACAGTCATCTCTTTCCTGACCTGCATCTCATCTAGAATAAGCGTCCCTCTGCATTGAAAGGGTGTCTTCTTTGCCAATTTATTCTAGAGAGCTTTGAAAAAGTTATTATCAAAACCACATTTGAGCCCCACCATGTTTATATATCTTATAATGGTGGTTGTGCATGGCATCGACAATATGTTATTGCTTCGTAAAAATGCGTAAAAAGAGAGGCTCCTAAGCAAGAGGCATAGGAATAGCCAGTCATCTGTATAGCACCTGTTATTCTTCGTAGTGCACTTAGCTGCAGATATACATTCTTGCACAAGAAGAAGCTGCATCGGTGGAATATCAAAAGCTTGGAGTGTCTTTTTGATATCCTCTTCTTGCAGTTTCATTATTTCAGCTTCACTTTCTTCCAGTCTTTTAGTAATTAGCTGGTTGCGCTTGATCTTGCGGTGGCGTAAAAAGCGAAAACTTTTTTTTGCACGACTTATAGCCTGTGTTGCAGTAGGGTACAAAGCATTTCCCCATCGCGAAGCACACTAGTACACTGAACAACGAAAAACGTCGAAGTGCCAACTTACGCGAGCACGTTCAGAAAAACAAGCAACGACATGTCCAGCGTGGAGTGAAGGGACAGCAAGAATGCGGCGGGAAAGCAAGCGGCGGCGGTGGGTGGCTAGTTTAGCGCGCCCTCTCTGGAGAGGTTTTCTAACCAGAACAGCATGCGCCTCTCCCCACGATTCGTCCCCTACGCGCCGTTCTCTCACCTAAGCTATTCTTCCACCGTGGCTATAGGTAAGTCTACGTAACCAAGTTGCTAAGCCAGAGCGTCCTGGTATCTTGTGTTCTGCTGACGTTAAAGCATTCGTTACGTCAATATAAAAGAACGAACTTGTGTCCGAGTGAAAGCAACTCGAACGTAACCTTACCAAATACAAAAAGTGTCATCAAGCACAGAAACTATTTAATTGTTTATTCCCGAGCATTATAGACTATAGAGCCTGTTGCTCTCATTGATGAAATAAACAAGTTAAAATATGTTCAGTTATGTATGTGCCTGAAGCTACAACCGCCGGCACAGAAGATCACTTCTCGTGCGCACCGAAAACACGAGATGTTAAGGTAAATGAACAAATGCGAGCCTGTACCGAACAACACCAAAAAGCGTGCAAAGTTGATATATCGAACTTATTGAGAAGTAATGCAGGTCTTTTATAGTTTAGGAACGTATGCTGGCGAACACACTTATTAGCTGATGAATTCTGTGTTAGATATAGATATGCGTGATATAATCGACGTTTTTCTAATTTTTCCCAGAGTGCTCAGCAGGTTAGACGATTTTTCATAGACAACTAATGAGGCCGACTCCAACGGCTGAATTTTTGCGACATGAGCTCTCTAACGCTATCGCGTTAAAACTGCAGACGCAAAGAAACAATCGGCAAAGCGTATGTAACACAAGATTTTCATACAAGTCATATAAAAAAGGCCACACAAAAGCAAAATTATCAATGCTCGCACGAAGTTCCGCATACAATGCTCACGCAGCGTTGGGTCGATAAAAGCGGTCCCTTCGCTGTGTCATGGTACATTAACTGTGGTTTCAGTTTTTATTTTCGGTTATTATTCCCGTCGCGGCGATAACATCGTGATGTCGATCCTCGACCTCATTATTAGCAGTCCGATGGCTCATTAGATAAGCTGCGACGAAACTTTGAGGAGCCCTGGAAACATATCGCAAGTTTCGGGTTCAAGGAACGTGCACGCTCGTTGCGGTTGCCGGGAATCCTAAGGTTCGGTTGACCAGAGTGAAGTTTATGTGAATTGTCGCATTTATTGGCATTCACAAGTATTCACATACAAAACTATTCGATACCCCTGTGAAGATCTTCTGTTTTGTTTCTATGTGTTTTCTCAGCCCTCATTTTATGAATTTTAAATCAGGCGAAGCACAGAACGTAATTGATTTGCCTTTGTAGCGCTTGCCTCTGCTCCTTCTCGCCCCTCGCTCTGCAATATTAGAAGTTGGAGCGCGCTCAGTTACCTCGCTCGGTTTGCGTGTCATCCAGGGGGCGAAAGCTCCCTATTCGCAAGTTTCGTAGGCTGCCACGCCGCCCCGTGGCCACCAGTGTAATTTTTTCAAAGAGTATCGGAGTAGCAGCGGGGCTGCGGTGCTCATAGCATGTGCTTGCAGTGATGTTCCGTGCAGGGAATTTGTCATTTTTTGAAGAATTTTCGTCTGTCATTTGGCACCAAAAGGAATCTCCGTGATATTGCAGGAAGCAGCAATCCGATCGCCCTTTAAAATGCACTAAACAAGGACCTTATCAGCATTCACCAGTGGTGCTTGATTAATCAACTGCAAATGAATGTTACAAAAACAACATTTGTGACATTTTATTTCCAACAGAAATACCTGCTATTCACCACACAATACCTGCTTCTTATAGCACTAGGCTTTTAGGCATCATCTTGGATAAACATCTGAAGTTCCATGCTCATGCGCAGTCTCTTCTTAAAAAGGTTTCTTTCGGTATTCATGTCATTCTGAAAGCACGACCATACCATCCATCACATGTTATTCTGTCTCTGTACTAGTCGTACACTCACAGCCACCTTTCATATTGCTTATCACCTTGGGGAAACACGTACAACACACATCTAGATAATCTACGACGCCTCCAAAACCAAGCGGTGCGGCTAATGACGTTCAGTCCGTATCTTTGTCGCTGCATCTCTCTATACGTTGAGCTAAACATACTCCCCCTTAACGAATCATTTACTTTAAAGTTAGCAGTCATCATGTATTGCCTTATTCATCACAATGTGCGCATAGAACGATTCTGACCTGAATTTTGACTAATAATGATAGAACTCGGTTCTCTGTGCGTGAGAATTTCCATTTACCTAAAGCTCGCACAACACTGGGAAAATGACTGCTAAGTTTGCTGGTGTGTTCGTTTGGAACTCGATTCCTTCTGAAAATAAACAACCTTTCACGACAAGCTCATTTTGCCGATTAACCAAAATACACTTAATCACTGAACTAACTAGAATATGGTAAATATATGTGCAATCAGGAAATTGAAATCGGTTCATCTCTTTTTACTTTATGTCTGTTTTGCACTGATTTGATGAATTGCACGTTATATGTGTAATAACAGTGTCGCTATTCCTATAGCGTAATTGCAATATGTACGCCACCTCTAAAGTAAACGTAGTTTTGTGTATGGTCTAGTTCAGCTCTTCTAATTATTGTAGGCTTGTTATTTATATTCGTATTTTTGAAAATTGAGTAAAGTGTTTTCGTTCATTTTGTTCACGCTACACGTTGTATATAGAACTGTCACAACGCCCATTGTCTGCTGCATATTATGCATCATCTTATTCACAAATGTTAGGAGGTCCCCCCCACAGTTTTTACTCTGGGACCTCCTCATGTACTCCGCTTATCTGTTCATTTATATGCTTATCCTTTAATAAACTTCAACAATAGTATTACGAACTTCAAGAATAGTTAAATTCTTCTATGACGACTGATATTTAGTGGTCACAGTGCGCCTTCATCAGCTCTAATCGGTTCTGGCACATGCACCGCGAAAGCATGATATTTGGTATTTGTTTCTGATATTTACCCGGTCCACTTTCTAGTTCACTAGTGGTGTTAGACGTGAAGTCGACAATGTGCATTGCACTAACAGTATTTAAATTAATAAAGTCATGCTTTCGTTGTGCACCAGCGGAGGGGCTAGTCATTATTTCAAAAGTTCCTATCACGTGAGAAACTTCTAATTATATTAAGTGTTGGCGTGAATGGCAGCGGAAATCAGTACCGTTGCGCAGAGAAATAAGCTGGGAATTTCGGAAAAGTTTGCAAAGCAAAATTCCCAAATTCCCGAGATGTGGAATTTTCTCGTCTCTGAATGGGAATTCTTCGGCGTAGTACAAAACATCACTGCGTGTATGTATTTCTTGGCTGACGTTGGGCCTTCACTAGAACGTTTGTGTTGTAGTTACTGTGCGCACAAAGGTCACTGCAATCATTGCACAGTCTTCGTTTGGAATGGGGTGCGCTTTTCAAACACAGCGAAGTAACAACTGAGACGCTTATTCGTGTTCATCTGTACCTGTGTGTATACGTATCGTGCGTCACTTGTGCTTGAGAAGTGCGGGGCGTGTTACGATTTGCTTGCCATTCGGCGCGTGACGTTCCGATTTTTTGCTATCGCGTTCATTGTTTCGCCTTTGCGGCAAAGCTGGGACTTTTCTGAAAATTCTTTAAAAAGATCGGCATTGCGATAACTTAGCGAAGCCTTACATCGGTAAGTATCCGCTGAAAACGAAGGACGTGAAAGTAAATACATTTTTTAACACTATGAGGGGTTGTGCATACAACAACAACCTCGGAAGAGAGCAGCGCTTCGAGATAGGTAATAGTGCCCTTAGAGTTGTAAATAACTATGTCTACAATGTACAGACAATAACCGCGGATCCGAACCACGGGATTGAAGTAACTAGAAGAAAGAGAACGGGTTGGAGCACATTTGGCAAGCGCTCTCAAATTATGACAGGTAGATTGCTACTATCCCTCACGAGGAAGGTATATAACACTGCATCTTGCCCACTTTTACCCCTTGGTGGTCGCCGGGCATCATACTAGGAATAAATCACGAACAAAACATTCCTTCCTTGGCGTCATATGACGTCCCGAAACAGAAAGAAAGGACGAAAGATCGAGAGGAGGAGGGTCGCCATGGAAGCCCTCCTTTCCCACTTCGCATGTTAGCGGAATGCGCTCGTCTTTCTTCAGCTCTGCCTACTGGCCGCTTGGGCGATGTGGCCATTCGTAAGATTTTCTTGTTCTTTTTTTAATTTTCTTTGTTTTTTTGGAGAGGAGAAAGGTAAGCTGACTGATTTCTCAGTAATATGAAACTGGATTGGCACAAGTAAAATGAACTTTTTTTATTATTTCACGTTTTCCATGAAAACACAGATACATACACGTAGTGGGAAGCGTCAATTTTTAAACCCAGTCTTACTTTTCACCTTACACATGGAAATAATCAGCAAATGTTCAATCCAAAATATCCGAACCAGTGCAAAAATTATCCACATTCGCAAGTATAGGACACGTCGTGTTTGGCTCAATTACATTTGTTATGACAGCGCGCATAGGTTGCTTACGGAACTTGAGTACCAAATGAGATTTAAGTTCTGAGGCACAGAGAGGCTTGAAGCAATCAGGAGTTTTTCGAGAAAGAACGTTGCTAGAAACAGCGTTTCAGCAGGTTGACTTCGTCAGAGCAACAGCATTGTCTTGACGAAGAAACGTTCACTTGTCAAAAGGTTGGCTCTATCTACATTCTCTGTAGTTATTTTTAGAAGCATTTAGTCCATAACGTGTACTTCTGTCACACTATTAAAAGTAAGGAATCACAAATTTTGAAACCATGCCTACAAGAATTTCATGAGCAGTAAGCAGGGCATTGGGCTAGGCCGCGCGACAGCTATGGCTTGACCTAACTGGCTGTAGTCTTTGCTATGCAGATTTTCGGCATTGTACACTCACCGTTGCAGTGGCCTGGAGAAGCTGGTGCCTCTGGCGGCCCACGCACTATTACGGACCTCTTTGACATTCGTATACTGTTGACCGCTTTCCACTGTTTTACGGTATCGACGATGGATGCAACGCTGAGACCCCCCCGGAGCTCAACACCAGCAAGACTACTGCACCTTCCACTTGCGGGGCGTGAGTGCACAGTCTGTTGCGTTGAACGATGATAACCCACCCCCGCTTCTGGTATCGCACTGCGCCTTGCAGCGGCATCACACCAGGGCTGTGACGTCATCGATGATACCGCAATACTACTACAAAAGCAACCAGCCTTGTGGATCACGGTGTAATGGGCTTGGCAGCACGAGAGCTATGGCTCGACCTAACTGACTCGTTTTTGCTATGCAGGTAACTAACTGCCATTGTCTGTTTTCCCCAAAAATGGCAACATATCCATGGGGTGAATGATGGAGAGTGGGGCGAAGCATCTGTCCGTCCATTCGTTCTTGCTTCCGTCCGTCTATGCGTCCGTCTGTGTGACCGTTCGTGCGTCCATCTGCCCGTCCGTGCGTGCGTCTGTTCGTGCGTCCATCCCTGCGTTCATCCATGCATCCGCCCCTGCGTCCGTCCATAAGTCAATTCATCCGTGCAGCCATCCATGCGTCCGCCCATGCATCTCTCTGTGTATCCGTTCGTCCATCAAGTCTATACTCCAAGTACCACCATCTCGCATCTTTTCAACATATATTTCGTATAGAGAAGCACCGCCATCCAGCGGATATTCCAAGGACTGAACGAGATGAGGCACACGCACACTTTCTTACGGCTTGCGCTTCGTGTCTACTTCCCACCTTTAGCCCCTTTGAGTTCATGGTATATACTAGTTCACTGTATTCATGGTACTGCAGCCCAACGCTCGCTAAGCCTTTCTGAAACCAAAAAAGTTACGCCCAGCGAGTTCAACCTAGCAAACCTTTCTTGTCAGGTAGTGCTCAATGTACATGCCAATCGCTGCTAAATGGGATTGAGTAACAGGAGAATTCTGCTTTTAGTTAACGCGGACGCTGCGAATTTTTTACTCTTCAACAACACACAGGAGAAATCCCCCACCGCACCACCTTGCAGGTCAAAGCGTAAAACTAGTTACGCACTACGATTACAACGAAAGACGAACGGATGCCGTTTTAAGGAGCTTCGCCCCTAAAAAACGAGTTGTCGTTCGCTTGTTGTGCTGCCCAGCCCACGAAGCATGCGGAAAGTGTTTTATGATTGTAGTTGTATATTGCTCAAATGGTCACTGCTAGCCGGATATATTGAAGCCAATACTGGCCATCTCTCTGATTTTCCGTCCCGGGAACTTGTCAGCGCAATGAAAGAGCTGCAGTCAGGGCAGTCGACGATAATTGAGGAACTGAAATCAATCCGTCTAACACTTTCGGATCACGAGAAATCTTTAGTGAATTCAAAGCAAGGCTTGAAAAAAATTGAATCGGAGTGCTTGTCATTCAACACTCTTCAGGTCGACATGAAAAAATTTCAAGTAGCTATTGAATGCACAAGCCAAATTTCTTTGCTGTCTGCTCGAATGGATGATGCACAAAACGGCTTTCGTCATAATAATCTTGTTTTCTTTCGTATTAGTGATACGCCAAAAGAATCTTGGCGAAACAGCGAACCACTAATCCTTGACATTTGCAAGACATTCCTCGGTCTAACTATTGATTCCGGTTCTATAAAACCTGAATCAATATATTGAGCGTGCGCGCAGACTGGGCTCCTACAAACAAGGCAGAAATCGAACCATAACTGTTAAGTTTGCCAATTTTAGAGTAAAACAAAACACTTTTTCAAAAAAATTTAAAGGATCTGTCTATGGTGTCAGCGGGGACTTTCCACCACAAACGCGCTTAGCCCGCAAACATATAGTGCAGTTTGATAAGGCTCGTAATCTATACAGACTTCAAGCTCTGATACGACACCCTTTATTGTAATAACGAAAGCTACTTTTATGACCAAACTTCGCAAAAGGTCGTTGAGCGTATATCTTAGCGCCAGGTTACACAACGTAATGAACAAAGTGGCCCGCGCCGAATGCCCCTGTCATTCCTATACACAAATATACGTATAGTTTCATGCGCAAGCGTAACTTGTCTTGTAGTCTCATTTCCTCATCATCAAGCAATGCGGTCTTACTAACCGAAACGTGGCTTAATTCATCTAACCTAGATCCTGAGTTGTTACCAGCATTGCCTAATTTTGATATATTTCGTAAACATAGACCCGATGGCTCGCGTGGTGTTGGCGTTCTTACTGCTGCTAATCGATCTTTGCTTTGCACGTTAGTACACGTATCATCCAATCTAGAATTCTCATGAATATGCTGTAATGCTACATTGCCATGTATGCTTATCGGTGTCTGTTATCGACCACCTAATAGTGTCAGCTCGTTCAATAAAAGCTTCCATGTATGCTTTGAAACCATAAAGGAAGCCTATCCCAACTCTCCCATTTTTATCATCGGTGATTTCAATTTTCCTTTCATCGACTGGACTAACCAAGCAGTCACGCTATCAAAGAAAATCATTGAAAGTGATTTCCTGAACACGTCTTACATTCGGTCTATCTCAACTAGTCACTCAGTCAACACGCATTTCCACTCATTCTTCAAACATTCTCGAGCTATTTTTTACAACACACGCTGACTTCTGTTCCTCATTCACTTATCTTCCACCACTGAGTGATAACTGTACTCTTCATGGTACCTTGTCTATTTATATAAGAAAACTACAAAAACCTTGATGTTGTATAACAAAGGTGACTACGCTTCTATGACTAATGAGTTAGCTGTCTTTTATGATGAATTTGAAAATCACTGTCAATCACTCTCTATCGAAAATAGCTGGTCAATGTTTAAATTAAAGTCATCCCGTCTAACCACAAAATATATCCAC